TTAAAAATTAAAAAAAAATTTTATAAATTTATTAGTTTATATCGAACAAAACTGAAAAACCCTTATGCTTAAAAATTTTTTTACATATTTGTTACAGTGATCTTTGTTAAGTTCCATGAACATGCTTAGTTCTGCGTGGGCAGTAGCATTATTTTCCTTGGCCAAATAGTTAGGTCGGATTATTGGTGACCGCCTTTCTAATTAGTTTGGGGATCTTTTGCTTGAAAATTTATCCCTCTCCAAGTAGTGTTGGTTTACATGGGAATGCGTGCTTATACCATCAACTTGGACATTTTAAACTGGACAAAATTTCGATGGACTTCAATTTTTCAAATCCATTCTTTTTCCTGCACATGAACCAATCCCAAGTTAGATGGCCTGTATCATCTGATCAATTGACTTTCTTCAAAACTATGTCCAAATTGTTTAATGGTCAAAATTTGTCAGAAAACAACACAACCACTTATCCCTTTGATTTTCCTTTATGCAATAAATTATTAACCACTTGGTAACTTTTTTTTTTGGTAAGAGATAAAATTTGAAGTAAATAGATTATTTAATATTATAAATTAAGATAAGATATATTATATTTGATAATTTAAGATAAATAATTACATGTTATGTATTAAAAATAATTTTAATAAACGGTCATCGATAAAATTAAAATTTTAAATTTTTTTATCAAAAAAATAAATTTTAATTAATTGAGTCAATTATTTGTTGATTCTTAATGGCTGTTTTCTGTTTGATTTTCCATGTTCAAGTTTTCCATTTTTGCTTGATTTTAACTGTTAATCTGGTTAAAGAGTTATTTTATTGGTGTTCGCGTGAGATAAGTGGAAATAAATAGATGTACAATGTATGCAATTGATTCTCAGAAGCCTAACTGATCGTTGATATCTAACAAATAATTTATAATTATATTTATATACTTTTCTCCAATTACCGAGACGTTTCGTAATTCAAGCCAGCTGCTATGGCGAGCTGTAAAGCGAGGGCAGCGTGAAATAGTCACCAACATTTTTTTAACGTGGCTACGTTCATTTATCCTTTTTCGAATCTTTGAATTGGAAATTCTTTGACTTTTTCTTAGTGGTTAAGATCATGAAATTCTTGATCGTTAATAGGTTGGTGAACTTTGAATCATTTGATTTGGATTTGATGGATGACCTACTTTGCCTGGGAGCATCGTATCCAAGTAAAAGTAAAACATTTTTAAGTTAATACATTTGCAATTGCATGGAGGCAATGATCGTTCAATGGAAATTCCTTTAGAGTTTTTAAGATCACGCAATTCTGGTTAACAATGAAGTTGGTAACATTCAATCTTATCATTTTTTTGTGAATCATGCATTTTGAGTGCATTCAAAATGTTTGTGCTAAATACTGATCCAAGGATAAACAGGGAAGACAAAGGAATATGTTGACGCTTAAATTGGTGTTTGAAGAAGAGAAGAAAGAGAATAAAGATGAAAAAATACCAATAAGTGCTTGATTTAATTGGTTAAGAGTCATTGTCTTTGATAAAGAGATTTTAAGTTCGAGTATTATCGATAATCATTTATTAAAATCATTTCAAATGTATAATCTGCAACAATTTATTTTAGATTGTCAAATATTATACCTCTTACCTTAACATAATAATAAAATGATCATGTGGCATTTGAAATTTTTCCTAACAGCCTTGTGTAATTTATATTCAATATTTTTTATATTTTTTTTCATACTTTTTATCAAACATGTTTTTTTGTTATTGTTTAAAAAAATGAAAAATAAAAAACATAGAAGAAAAATTATATCAAACGAACCTCAATTTGAAATGCAAAAAATGTATCCACTTTTTTTTGAAGATTTACAACCATATATCATATATAATATAATAAAATACAAGTTAATCTTATAAAAATTACTTATGTAAATACTTACATGAACATCCTCAAATAATATTTTTAATCAATTATTCAATTTTCAAAAGCTTTTAAAATTTTAAAAATTTGACTTGTCCAATTCTTTCAATCTATATTATAAATTTATTTTAATTTAAAATCATATAAAAAAATTCACAAATCATTATTTCTCCTACCATAACAATAGTAAAATTAATTAAAAATATGAGAATTATCTAATATACTGGTTATTTAATTTTACAAGTGGAATTAATAATGTGATATATATCTCTTATGGTATATTTTAAAAAAATTAATTAACAAAAAGTGATGCATGTGTTATTTTATTAATGGATAAAGTTAAAAAAACTCAACTAATAATATATCAAATAATTTCTCTAAAAATATTAGTAACTATTTTACCTTCTTTTTCCCATGATTTAAAAGAAAATGATTTCTTCTTATAATTTTAAATTGCATATATCTGTTAATTTAAACCTAACTAGTTTATGGCACGTGTTATGCATAGGTTATTTTTATATAATTATATATAAAAATATTGTTTTAATAAAAATATAAAATTTATATATGTATATATCCAATGATATCTAAGAAAATAATACTTTTAAAATATTCAAGCATTTAATAAATACTATTGTTTAATACTTAATTAAACACTTTATAAAATTTACATATACATATATCCAAATAATATATAAGAGCAACTCATTATCATATGGACACTACATATAATTAAAAGGTTAAATGAAAAAAATCAAATTAAACATATTTTCATAAGTGTGATCAAATTTGCCTTAATTAATTTAAGATTGCAAAATGTTTTCACCTACTTTAAATCAATTATAGGAAATACATAATTCCTTTTAATAATTTTTATTAATTTGAATACACATATATTAAACATAAAATAATATCATTAAAAAATTATATTATTATTGAAACTTGAAATTTTAATATTTTAAGACGTTATAAGATATATATTTTTTTAAAAATAATTATATATTGAAGTATATACTGAACCAAAAATTTATTATATATATGTGAAAAAGAAATAACCAAACATTTATTATACGTGTACGAACTTTGAGTTGAAAGCCCAATATAAGTTTAAATAATATCAAATTAGTTAAGTTTTTTATTGAATCAAATACAAAAAATAAAAAATAAAATTGTAAATAAAAATAAGCGGAGAATAGTCGCTTTTCTTACTCATTACAAATGAAATATTTAATAATCAAATAAAAAAAAAAAAAGAAAAGTAGACTTTTAATCCTTTTTTTTTTCTTTGCAAATTGAATAATGAATTTATCAAAGAGATAAAAACACATAACTGCCAATTATTAATAACAAATCAAAAAATCATTTAAAGAGGTCAAAATTAAACTTTTGATAAAAAAAATTTATAGTCATTCACATTCTTTTTTAACATTATAACTTTTTTTTTTTAATATGAAAATCTTGCATCTATAAAATTGAAAAGAAAAGATTAATTACCAATTAATTTTCTTAGTAAAATATTTAAGAGCACTAAACCAAAACTGAAATAAAAAGAAAAAAAAATCAAAATAATCATAATTAAGATTAATCTAATAACTCTAACTGAAATAATTAAGGAAAATATATTTACAAAAATATAATACTAAATAAAAAAAAAACATGTTATAAAAAATAATAATACTCACAGAATTATAATTTTACAACACCCCTTTAAAGCTTATTATAAAGTATAGAAAATTGGTGTAAAATATAAAAAAGTTATACCATTATTTAAACAATGTATCAAGGGTAAAAAAGAATAGAAGATTACTTAAATAATCTTTTTTTATGTGTGTTTATATATATATATATATTAGATCGTTCTAGCAAATTAATATGTTTATATAATTATAAATAAAGATTAGTAACTATGTAAAATTATTCATGATTAATTAGCTTTATTGTAAACAAAAATAAAAAGAAATATTCATACTTAAAGTTAAAAAAAAAAAAAAAACTAAAATTAAGCCATTAAATAGGTAACAATATTTTTTGGACGATAATTGAGAAAATATTAGAAATTAAATTAGTTTGTAATTTTAATTTTGAAATTTGAATTATTGATTATGATCAAAACACATGACATCATTTGACATTATTCATGTATAAAATATTGCCCTACATGCATAGACTTATTTCTTTTTTTTTTCAAGTTAATATGTTGAAGTTATCTTTTGTGTGTATGTGTGTATATATATAAAATAGATTGTTCTAGTAAATTAATATGTTTATATAATTATAAATAAAGATTAGTAAATATGTAAAATTATTCATGATTAATTAGCTTTCTATTTAAATTTTGATTTTTTGAATTAATAATCAAATTAATTATAGCTAATTTATAAAAGGCAAAAATATTAGTATTTAAACATAATTAATTTAGTCATAATAAATTATTTTAAAATTAATTATATAATCAAATTCATTAATTATAAAACACACAACGTTTACTAATGATATTTCATATGTAAGAAAAATAACTTATTTACATAGGATTTTTTATTATGTTAAAAGTTTTGACTTATATATATATATATATATATATAAGATTTGAAATTAGAATATGAATTCATTGTCAAAAAAACTTTAAAGTTTAAATATAAAAATGAACTAAATAAAAATTTAAGAAATTGACGTGATATTAACTCCTTTGATAGATTAGATATACACCTTTGAGACGTGGTTAAACATTAAACTTTTTGTGCAATTGAAATGTTTTTAATTATGGATTATTTTCAACTTAAAATAATTGAATTACTTGGTTGTATTTATTTTTATTATTGGATTTTCTTTTGGCACCATCAATAAGGTTGTCCCCTTTTCATAATCTTAAGTATAAAAAAAAAAAAGTTGTTATTTATTTATTTTTTACCAAAAAAAGCCAAAAGATTGAAGATCTTTATTTCTTTTCAATTTGAATTAAATGAAATTCATTGAAATATTTATACTTATATCTAAATAAAAAATTAATTCATATATAGTACGGTTGACAAGTTAATTAATTATTATAAAAGTTATTTTTGCAATTAAAAATTACCCAAAAAACTAAAAAAAAACAAAAAGGAGAAAGACGGACCCCAAGAAATAGAGATGAGTTTGAACTGTGAAGTCAGTTGGAGTCGCAGCCGACCCTCGTGCGATCTTTTCACTTTATTCTTTGTCTAAACTCTAAGTACTCTCTTTATTTTGGAAAAAGCTAAAAGAAAGGAAGAACAAAAATAGAGAACAATAACAAGAACATGGGAGAGCTGAAGTCCCTGAATAAGAAGCAAGTTCAATTGTTTTACTGTATGGAATGCGAAGAGCTTGCCCGTAAAGTTGCTGCGCACTCCCAACTCATTACCCTTCAATCTATCAACTGGAGGTACTCACTCACCTGCCTGAATTCGTTCTTAAAAATCTTTATTGCTTTCTTTTAAGAATGAATCATAATTTTCGTGTTTTCTGTTCTTTGGGTTTTTTTTTTTATGTTTTAAGGTGGGTATTTTTCTATCTTGCTTTTGGTTTAATCTGTTTGTAGAAAGCTTGAATTTTGAAAAATATAGTTGATAAAAAATATATATATGTATGAAAACTAAAGGGTATGATCAGATTGGGGTGTTAGGATAAGTGCAAAGAATTCCATGAATTATGTTGTAATAGAGCATGTGCCCTCCCCCCTTTTTTACTCTAAAGAGAATAGCAAAAACTTATGCTTTTTATTTGGATGGAAATTTATGAATTTTTTTGCTTTTGCATTTTCTTTGTATTCTGTAGTTTTATGAGATTCTAATCAATTTCCTGGTGTGTTTACTGCTGGGCTCTATATGCTATTATTTCAGATTTGTAATTCATGCCATATTATAAATGTAGTTCTAATAACCTTGCTACAGCCTACGAATCATAAGCCTGGATTCAAGGGGGTCTGTTTGATAGTAGAGCTTGAAAACTTTTTGTCAAGATTTGAGAATATGCAGTCCAAGTCAGTTAGTTCTAAACCCACTCATAAGTTGGTCAACACTCAACGATAGACCATTGCATTCAATTAGCTGGAAAATCAGCTTCTTTTGATGTTTTAACTATTTGATTTATCTTGAAAATTCAACTTTGCCTCAAGAACATTTTAACCTGTCTATGTTCTTACTTTCAAGCCCTTAACTGAAACTGAGCCAGTCTGGTGATAGATACACATCACCCAGTAGTAAAGTCTCCTATGAGCTTGCTTGGAACTTCTTTACTTATGCCATTTTGGGTGACTCCATCCCTGCTCCCTTCTTCCTAACACAAACACCGCATAAGAGTGCATCATTTATTTTTTTTATTTAAAAAAAGTTGTGAGGCTGACAACAACATTATATTGCCATTGGACTTCTCACCATCAAAAGAAGATGCAGATGTCATTCATGTGAAGTTCTTCACATTCACACCCTTACCTCAATTCAGTAATTCCCTGGCAGCAGCATAAGCATTCCATAGAATTTTTATATCTTCTATTTGTTTTATTTACACTTCCTTTGCAATTTTTGCATGTTGACTTACCATGTATTGTCTAGCTTTCTTTTATTGCTCATGTCTGTATCATGACAAATCAAGAATATTAAAGCCTGTTTTAGAAAAGAGGGAGAGAAAAGAGATGGAAAGGGGGGGGGGGGTGGAAGGGACTGTTGGAGTTTCAGCTTTTATTGGCATTTTTAATAGTGACCTGTTGTTTTCTGTATTCAAACTTCCCATGTCCACATACAAGATAAAATTCATTACTCCTGTCGGGATAATGAATCCATGCCTAATTTTGGAATGGGTTTGGCAATCTGGAACCAGCCTTGCATGCACATTTGTGCTAAATAATTATGGTTAGCATTGCTTTGCTAATTCTTATATTCAGTATGACAATTATTGCATTCTACTGCAGACATAAACATTTAAATTGCTCGTCTTTCTCATTGTTGATACCACATAAATTTCCTTTAGAATGTTCCACTTCATATGATAATAAATTTTAAGTTTTTCTGCTGCTAGGCTTGATGCTAGAATTGATTTTGATAATATATATTTGTTAAAATTAAGGCTTTAGAGAGCAACTTGTTAATCTCTTGGATTAGCCTTTCATTATATAGACAATACTAAGGAAAGAGAATCAATTACAAATTACACATTAGTGCTCCCAATTAATCCCCCCTAAACTGTCTCCCCTGGAATATTCTCATAATATTCCAACTCACACACATGTTTACACTAACACTTGCTTTCAAACTGGAGCATATATATCAGTCATGCTTAGCTTGTTACATATATAGTCAACTTAAACTCCTGGAAGTGATTTCATAAGAATATCGGCTGGTTGTTCCCCTATGCGCACATGCTTTAATAATATTGTTCCACTCTGCAACTTTTCCCTAATGAAATAACAATCAACTTCTATATGTGTGGTTCTTTCATGAAATATTGGATTGGAAGCAATATGAATCACCGCCTGATTTTCACACCATAACTCTGTAGGGGTCCGAACTGAAAGCCCAGTTTCATCTAAGAATTGAACCATCCATAATATTTCTGTTGTAGCCAAAGCCATGGCTCTATACACTGCTTCTGTGCTAGACCTAGCAACTCCTTGCTGCTTCTTGCTCTTCTAGGACATTAGATTACTCCCAAGGAATATAGCATAACTGGATGTAGAGTTCCTATCCATAGGAGAGCCTACCCAATCTGCATCTACATAAGCCCGATTACCCCCATCATTAGTAGAATTGTAGAGTATTCTCTTTCCAAGATTTCTCAACAAATATCGGAGGATGCACATCGCTGGTCTCCAATGAGTCTCTTTAGGAGCTGCCATGAATTGATTTACCACAGTCATTGGAAAAGATATATCAGGTCTTGTCATGGTCCGGTAATTCAGTTTTCCCACTAGTCTCTTGTAAAGTGTGGGATCAGTAAGTAAAGTGCCATCTTCTGGAGAAAGCTTAATACCTAGATCCATCAGTGTGTCACTTGGCTTGGCATGGAAGAAGCTTGCATCTCTCAAAAATATCCAACACATACTTCCTCTAAGATATAAAGATACCTTTTTTACACCTTGCCACTTCAATACCTAGAAAATATTTCAATTGACCATCCTTGGTCTCAAACTAGGACTTATGATACATCTTAAGTTTGTCAATCGTTGCACTATCACACTGCTAGTGATGATGATATCATCTTCATACACTCTCAACAATATAAGGCCAGAACTTTGCTACATATAAAATATTGAATGATCTTTCTCATTCTGTTGCATGCCAAACTGAACAAGAGTTGCACTAAATTTGCCGAACCACGTGTGTGGAGATTGCTTTAGATCATATAGAGATCTATGCAAACGGTACACCTTCCCAGACTCCCTTTGAGCAACAAACCCGGTGGTTGCTCCACATATACCTTTTCAGTCAAGTCACCATGTAGGAAAGCATTCTTTACGTCCAATTGATGTAATGCCCATTTATGTGTAGCAACAAAACTGAGGAATAGGCGAATAGATGTCATCTTTGACATTGGTGAAAAGGTGTCAAAATAATCTACTCCATATGTTTGCGCATATCCCTTTGCTACTAGTCTTGCCTACAATCTAGCCAATGAACCATCAAGATTCAATTTTGTGGTGTAAACCCACTTGTACCCAATAACTTGCTTTCCTTTTGGTAGGGAAAACAAAGTCCCATGTATGGTTGGCCTCTAGGGCCATAATCTCATCCTCCATAGCCTTATGTCATCCTAAATTTGCAAAAGCATCATGAAGAGTATGCGGCATAGTAATAGCATAAATTGTGACAATACAAGTTTGCAATTGAGTAGAAAGTCCTTTGTACGAGGGCGTGTATAAAGGAAAATTTTTGCAAGTTTGCGAACCTTTTCATAGAGCAATCGGTACATCTTCAGCCATAGAGTCTCAAGGTGGATCCATTGACGGAGGGATTGTCTTGATAAGGGAAGTTTCTGTAGATGGATCTATGTAGGTCCTTCTAGTGTATGTACGACCAAATCGAGTGTCTAAGCATGCCTCAGAAGGGGATGCATTAATCGGTTTGTTATGTATATGATAGATGAGAAAATCTTTTTCTTCTAGTATGATAGGTGATGGATGAGATTGTAGTACCAAAGGAAAAGGAATCGACTCATGAAACATGACATCTATCGAAATAATAAAGCGACCCAGGTCTGGAAAGTAGCATCGATACCCTTTTGGACATGTGAATAACCTAGGAAGATACACTTAAGAGAATGTGGGTCTAATTTAGTGCGGCCTAGATGAGTATCAGTAACAAAACATGTGCACCCAAACACCTGAGGGAGATTGAAATAAGGGATGATCAGGACATAATGCTTGAAGAGGAATTTTTCTTCCGAGAACCGAGGGTGGCAAACGATTTATAAGGTAGCATGCTGTGATGACAGCTTCACTATAGAACACTTTAGGGACCTTCATTTGAAACAAAAGAGCTCTAGCTAGTTCCAACAAATGGCGATTCTTCCTTTTGGCAACCCTATTTGCTATGGGGTATTGTACAGAGGACTGATGAACAATACCTTTTGCATTTAGGAATTGAACAAACTCTGTAGAAAAATGCCCTCCCTTATTATCACTTAGTAAAATTTTGATTGACTTACCCAATTGATTCTCTATTTCTACATGAAACGTAGTAAAGACAGAGAATAATTTAGAGTGGCTCCACAACAAATACAACCAACAAACTTCTGAATAATCATCAACAAATGTCACAAAGTATCTATAACCTGATTTCGAAATAATAGGACAAGGCCTCAATACATTAGAATGAATCACAGCAAAAGGAAACTTTTCTCTTTTATTAAATTGAGGTCGATAGGACACTTTGTGCAGTTTAGCAAACTTGCACCATTAACAATCAAAACCAAAAGATGATAAATGAAGACACATAGCTCGTAAAGTTGACATAGATGGATGACCAAAACGACAATGAGACTCATAAGCTGATGACAATTCTCCTGAATATGTCATTAATCGAGACTGTATCTTCTGTATGTCATCAAGCACATAAAGACCTTCGATCCTTCCCCTACCAGTAGTCTACTTTGTCAATAGATCTTGAAAAACACAATGAGTAAGAAAGAAGGAAACACTACAATTTAAATTCCTTGTAATCTAATTGATTGAAAGTAAGTTAAAAAGAGAAGGACATGTAGCACTGATTGTAAAGGTAATGTGGATATAGATCGAGCGTTGCCATTTCCCACACTATCTATAGAGTTTCCATCAGCAACCAAAACAGAATGTTTCCCCACATAGGAGTATATGAATAAAGAGTACCTGTAGTACCCGTCATGTGATCCAATACTCTTGAATCAATCACTCAAGTCCTAGGGGGGGGGGTTGCTAGGCATGCGGTAGATTTACCTTGTATAAAAGTTGCTGTTGGAAAGGAGATCGAAATCTGATTGTGAAGCATCTGAATAAGCTTGTCATACTCATCTTGGGATAATTGAACTTCTTTCTCATCTTGTTGTTGGGGCTGAAGTGCAGCATTAGTTGGATATGCCTCTGATGGGCTAGAATTGCCCCGAAGCTGTTGACAAACATTCTGTAAGTGTCCATGCTAGCAGGACCGTGGGTCTCCTCTACCACTTCCACATCTTCTACCTCGTCCATCACATCCTTTGCGTGGTGCTTGCGCTTCACGTTGTGGGGCCACAAATACTACCCTGTCTTCCTGTGGAGGATCATACTGAGTGACCTTGCTCAGGCACTTATAAGCATCTAGTAAAGAAAGTGAATCTTTGCCTGCTAACATCTAAGTGCTAGCACAGGCATACTTGTTTCTCAATCCTGCTAAGAAAAACACTACGGCTAGAGCCTTTTGTTGCTCTTGGTTTGTCTTTAGATTGATAGACAAGGGCATGAGTTCATTAAACTCGTCATATACCTCCTTGAACGGAGCAAAATATTCTCTCAAGCTCTTATCGGACTGCTTCATTCTAGACCATGCCTAACATTTGAGATCTTCTATCAATTCGCACAATTTGCATAAACAATTTTTAAAGCATCCCAAAGTTCCTTACTTGTAAAGTATTGATTGAACATCACCTTGACTTGTTCCATTGAGTTGAATAATTGTCCAAGTACTTGATTGTCCTTCTGCTTCCGTGCTGCATTCTCCGAGGTTTCCTTTGCTGGCAGCTCACTTGTCAGAAATTGAGACTTTCCACGACCTCACAAGGTCACCAACACAGTCTTGCTCGATGACAAGTAGTTGAAGCCATCAAGTTTCCCATCCGACAACCGTGAGCCCGTGATAAACTCTTGAGTTATCACCTTCAATGCGGTTGCCTCTTTTTTTGCCTTGGCCACACATCCTTCTTCCTCTAGAACATAACTGGTAATCTTTCAATCGGGTAACACAACCCCAAATCAACAACCAGGAACTCTGTCCCTTGTTCTGCAGGCACGCTTTACACTGAGAAAACTTGTCTCCCTTAATCTATCATTCACGAAGAGGTTGCAACCCTTCTTGCTGCCTTTGAAAATAAGGGGTGGCCTTCTTTCAACTAATGAGGGACTGGTGAAGAGGAAGGAAAAGTTTTAAGTACATAGCTTTAGGGTTGCGAGATCAAAGTTTGTAGTAGCAACGGCTTAGGGGACGATGCAGGGGCTATCGCAGAGGGGTTTGGGGAAAGAGAGAGAGCAGGGGGTGGCGGCTGCTAGGGTTGTGCTACTGGCTCTGATACCATGTTAGAATTAAGGCTTTAGAGAACAACTTGCTAATCCCTTGGATTAGCCTTTCATTATATAGACAATACTAAGGAAGGAGAATCAATTACAAATTACACATTAATGCTCCCAATTAATCCCTCCTAAACTGTCTCTCATGGAATATTCCCATAATATTCCAACCCACACACGCATGCACTAACAATATTTAATTTTTTTTTAACATGGAGTATTCTTATATGAAGGAGAAATGCTGAATTTCTTTCATTTGCAGGAATTTTGATGATGGATTTCCAAATCTTTACGTAAACAATGCACATGATATCCGAGGCCAGCATGTTGCCTTTCTTGCATCCTTCAGCTCCCCAGCTGTAATCTTTGAACAGCTTTCTGTCATATATAATCTTCCGCGACTGTTTGTTGCTTCCTTCACATTGGTGTTGCCATTCTTTCCAACTGGCTCCTTCGAGAGAATGGAAGAAGAAGGAGATGTAGCAACTGCATTTACCATGGCAAGGATTTTGTCAAATATTCCCATATCTAGAGGTGGTCCCACAAGTTTAGTCATTTATGACATCCATGCTCTGCAGGTTTGTTTTTCGTGCAATGAAAATATCATATTTATTTAAGCTCCATTTGATAAATGCTTTTACTTTTTACTTTTTGCTATTTGTCTTTAGTTTTCTATTGAAATTTTATTTTTTGTTTTTTTCCTTCCATTCAATTTTTGCAAAAGAAAAAAAAAAGGTAAAAAGCAAAATTATTTACCAAATGCAGTGTTGTTTTAGCTTCTGCTGAAGCTTTTTATCAGATTCATCTGGAAAGTTTTATTTAATCTTTTAGCAGTATGATGCTAATAAGGAGTACCTTGTTTTAAGACACTTTAAACATAGTAAAAATCATAGTTCTTATAATCTCATTTTGGGTCATTTGGCAGTACTTCCCTTCCTTTCATATCTATCAAGATATCTTAATTCAGTCACTTCATTTGTTGCGCTTATTATACTATATGTGATATAAAATTTTTTTAGCTTTGAACTTATAAATGGCATCAATATTTTGGACAATGCCATGCTGGAATGGGGGATAACAATTTTAGCAGTTTGTCATTTGTGATACTTGTTTGTTCTATTTTTTATTACTATTAATCTGTTTGATCTAGAAAGTGTTTCTTGTCTTTCGGTATGTCTCATAGGATGGAGCTGGGATGTATGTTCCTAACTAAAAAGGTCAGTGTGAGAGAAGGAGAAAAAGTTGAAATTGATGTTCTACTGCAACATCTAAAGCCTTGGATTAGCTATGCCCATAATTATGTTTAATTGTAATTGTTCAAGTATATTTATAAATTACTTATTTGCAAATATGCATGCACTGGGATAGAGAATGTATAGGCATTTTCTATTCATCTGTCTCAAGTTTATTCATGCTGACATACGATGGAGGAAATATATGGTTGCACGAAGAAGCATGCATTAGATGGAGAATTTCATTGTTTTGAGGAAAGGTGGAAGTGAAGTTCTAGTTTTCAATGACCTTTTTTTTTTGTTAGATACATGTCTTTCCCATACTTATTTTATTTATTTTTAAAGTGTGGCCTGTATTTTGTATTTGGGCTTTCTCCTGACTCAGCCCAAGTATTTTGTACTCCAAGTCATTACTATATAAAATGTCGTGTTAGGTCTTTTGTGGAGAGAAGAAGACCCATTGGTTGTGTTTAAGGCTTAGATTTTTTAGTATAAATATCTTATAATCTCCACTCTTCTTCAGATTATAGTGAATTTTCTCTTCATCTCTTCATGTGGACATAGCTATCAAGTCAAACCACGTAAAATCGGTGTTCTTGTATTTGATTCTTGTTTTCTAGCTATTTCCATTGTTGTCTTGATTCCATGTGGGCCTTGTCACAAAAGTTTTGTCTAACACGGAAAGGAGAAGAGGGTATTTGAAGAAAAGTATGTCAAAACATTGGAGCATAAGGTAGCTTCTTTTAGACTTTGGTTCCACTTAATAGAAAAAGCAGATGGTGAGGGAAAGATACTTGCATATTTTTTCTCATCACGTCCAAAATATAAGGTGATAGGTCCAGAAACAAAATCCTTTGGCCAACAAACAATGACCTCAGCTACTAGTGATCAAATATTCAGATTGTTGAATTTGGTTTCAATGTATGAACCTCATGGAAGATTCCGAACACAAACTAAGGATTATTAACATTGATGTTATCAGCGTCAGGGTTCACTGAAGGCCATGGCCTAGGAAAGTGATAGATTGTTTTGTTTGTTAAGTAGACTGATAGTTTCTCCCAAAAGTTTATTTATAAGCATTGTAAAGTAAAATACAGGGAGCATCAGGTCAACTGATAGGTGATTGTTGTTTCCAAGTTTTATTTTAGATTAAATTTGTATATATAATATTTAATATTTTCAAACACAATTATTTTGTAATTCAGTGGTTGAGGGACATGGTTCCCTTGGTTTATAGTATTCTCACCAACATATTGGTTTTAGGAACGTGAGGATTGTTTTATTTCTTCTCATAGTTTGACTTGTTCCTTCAAAGCAATATCAAGGAAAGGCTTGTATTTTTGCTTTCTTTCTCAGTTTATGCTTAGGGTCATGAAATTTTTTGTTTGGTTGTAAGGGGGCTTGATCATTATTTGTTAATTTTGCTTATGATGTAGGAAAGATTTTATTTTGGAGACCATGTGTTGCCGTTATTTGAGACTGGGATTCCTCTTCTAAAGCTTCGCCTTCACCAGCTTCCTGATGCTGATAATGTAAGTAAATCACCTCAAAATGTTGTCTGTGTCAAATATATTTTTTTGTGTTCATGCGCTGGTCGGCATCATCATCTACATGATTTCCCCCCTTAATGTTGTTGTTATTCATTCGTTAGGAATGGTCCCTCATGCTAGGTTTTTACATCCTTTCCAATTAAATTGAAGTTGTTTTTCAGATAGTTGTTGCATTTCCGGATGATGGAGCTTGGAAACGATTTCACAAGCTGTTAGATCATTTTCCAATGGTCAGTTTGGACTTTTACCTAAATTAAGTTACATTATGTTTCATGCTCATTTAATGAAGGTACATGGTAATTGATTGGCAGGTTATCTGCACAAAGGTTCGTGAGGGTGACAAGAGGATAGTTCGGCTCAAGGAGGGAAATCCTGCCAATTGTCATGTGGTGATAGTTGATGACTTGGTGCAATCTGGAGGCACTCTTATTGAGTGCCAGGTACTTGTAGTCCTATAATCTCTTCTTATTTTTTTATATTTTTTCCTTTATTTCATTATTGTTCTCGTAGAGGTTGCCATGAAAAAAAAGTTCTTGAAGCCATAACAAAAATCTCCTAAGAACTAAGTGGGAATCATATGTTTAGCTACTGATAGACATGTATTTCACAAATATTTTTATCAACTAATGTGTATTTTTTTCCCTGTTGAAAGATTTTGATGGTCATGTGTTTTTGACTATTTAATGATCTGAAAAGATCAAGAAGTAGTCCTATAATGGACATTTCACTTATAGACATTCTTCGGGCCTTGGACATGAATAATATGGCCTTAACTGCTTCTTCATGTCCGTGTTATTGTTCCAGAAAGTTTTGGTAGCTCATGGTGCAGCAAAGGTGAGTGCATATGTCACTCATGGTGTTTTTCCTAAACGCTCGTGGGAGCGATTTACAAAAAAGAATGATGGTAAGTGCTTCAACATTCTCATCTCTGTTTCTTTCTTTCTCCCTCAACTTATGTTGTCTTTGTTTCTACTTTGATTCCATTTTGCGGAAGGGTCAGAGAAGGGATTTACCTTCTTTTGGATCACGGATTCTTGCCCCCACACTGTTAAAGCCATAGAAAACACAGCTCCATTTGAAGTTCTGAGTCTTGCAGGATCAATTGCCGAAGCTCTACAAATTTAAGCAAATATTCCAGTTTCCAAGAGTCTCAAACTGTCTTCTTCTCAGGTATTTGAGATTGTTAGGAATTTTGATGCTGAAACTAAGAATGCAGCATCTTATCAAAAACTGTTAAAATCTTTTTTTTTTTTCTCTTTATATAAAATTATGAACTTGAATAATGTTAAAAGTGATATCCTTATCACTCTATCCTTTTATCAAACAAAAAAATTTCTATATTTTGTTAGACTCCTATTAAAAGAGACTACATAAGATGAGTTGTATAAGTGCAGTTACAATTCAAAATTACGTGAAGCCTATCAAAATTTTACATTGGAGATCACATTTATAAATGGTGAATTTTTACATAATTTTTTTTTTAATTATGATGGAATAATTATAATATTATATTAAAAATAATTTCAAGTGATGTTCTCCGAAAAGCAATACAATTTTTTTTTTAAATGTTTACAAGATAAATACAAGGATAATTGTAGTTTAAATTGATACTAAACTTAGGATTATGTTATCTACCAACAGCTGTAACAATTTGAATTGGCTGTTTTCATTTGGTCTAGCTGAACAAATATTTCCTTTTTTTTTTTTTTTGCAAAAATGATCATAATCTGAAAATAAGAAAGGTTCGCAATGCTGAAATTTAAATTAAGGCTACTAAATATTAATTTTAAAAATAATTAAATGAAATAGCGAATTAAACTTTTAATTCATATTTCAAATTTTTTTCTGTAGCCATTCATACCCCCACTCAAATGCGAACGATGGTACAACACGCAGGTTATATATTTCCAATTTCAATTACACATACAATTGAATCTCTGAAGCGGATTAAATAATGTTTTCTGCAAACCCCTTATTTTCCTGGTAATGTTTCTCAAATAATGTTTAGTGAAATATACATCGTTGACCATTAAATTTAAATTAAAAAAAATTGTGCTGGAAACACACAGGAAGACAAAAAGAGGCTTGGAATATCTGTACAGAGACGTAAATATTGACAAATACAAGACAAATGTTCACAACACTGTTACACATTACATTTACCAGGATTATAGGGTCTGTTTGGCCCCCTCCTATACAATTTATAAACAGCCCTTTACCTTGGAATTTGGATTCCCCCAACAAAGATTTGCATACAAAACAAGTAACAGTATCAGCATATTGACATAAATGACATAGTAAAGAAATGTCGATGATTAAAAAAGCAAAAACCCCAGAGATCCATGCACGCATTCCGGTGCGATGAAACTTCGATTCTTAGCATCACGCTCCGCCTTATTCTTGGAACCCTGGTTCAAAAACAATTCTTTCTCTACATATAAACAAAACACTTTCTGCCTCATTTAATTTTTGACTTCTCTAGTGAATTACCATTGAGTGTCCGTAACTGAAAAGCAGACACTGCACATGACACAAGCATAACATACACCTGTTCTTTGATTTCTCTGCCAACTTTATACACTTAACACACCTATCCACATTTTAGCACTCCTAGCCATTTTTTCTCAAGCTAAGAGTAAGATTTCCAAATGCATTGTTAACTCTTCTCTGGATTCTCATCTACAAGGCCCTTCGGGCTTTCCAATGAATCCCCAGAATAAGACCCATCTGGTTGGCGAATACAGATGTTCAAATTGCTAGAGAGGAAATGTTCCTGCAAGATCACAAACATATAAATATAACAAACACATAGTTTATACTGGTGTCCGTAAACCTTTGACAAGAGTATGGCCCTGATTAATCTATCCATTCATTTTAGAAAGTTTTTAATATAACTTATAACTGAAGCAACGTTTAATACTTTGGCATTTTAGTATTGATATTGATGCGGGCAGAAAATAACACAACCAGGGGTCAATCCTTTGCTTAGCTGTTTCAGCTCCGTTCCTCAACCAAAACAAAATAATAGGCCTTATAAAAATGATTGAAATATTTTCTCCCCAAATCTAAGCCACATGTAGTATTCATGGTTCTTTCAATTTGTTAATATTACAAACCTACTAGGTTTTTTACCCTGGTCATTGATTCCCATCAGATATTAGGAACAAGTTAGAGAAGTTTTCCTTCTTTTTCTATCCACCTCACCTCCCCCTTTTTTTTCTTAGCTGTCCATTTGAATTGATTTCAGGGCACGGGCACCCCATTTCATCCAAGCAGGTAAAACATAAAGTAGAGCAGAAAGATGAAAGCTTACAAATTATTTTTACTTTTCCTTCTTTGCACTATTTCTTGCCTGGGTTTGTGTGGATTAATCCAATACTAGGATTCATATATCTAATATAGTCTACAAGGAATTTCAGAGTTAAACAAGAACAAATACTAGTAAAAGCCCTCCAACTCATGAAAAACATGACTGAAATACATTACCTGATCACCAGTCTCCTGGCCCTCTGAATGGAACAGAATTGGCCGGCATCTCTTATCTTCATTCATCAAGCTTGAATTTTGGAAATGTGCCACAAGGGCAGCCTTGCCCTGGATTCGAGCATAAGCCAGAGATGCAACCTTCTCGCTGTTGAACTTCTCCCATTTCTTTCCATTAAAAGCCTGCATAAATTTCAACAGAAATAAATCTTTTCTTTCTTCACCAAGAAGATACATGTATGAAAGTATGAAACTCTAACATCCTTATCTCGTATGGCTAAGTTGCCGTATATAATTCCTTTGAAAACCAGAAAAAAGACTCCTAGTCCCATTTAATATAAATAACCTACTAATTTAGTTTCTTTTCTTAATACACTTACATGATGTTAAAAAATACTAACTTATTGATAATATATACTACTTTTTTCACACACTTAGAAAAGGGATCAAAGATTGAACCTGGTGAAAAGAGATAATATGTGAAGGAGAGATCATATTGATGAAGGCATAACCTACATTACACTTGTTCTGCAATCAGATTGGTCAATTAATAATCACAAGCAATTTTGACTTGACATAACCATACAACATGTCAAAGATCCACATGGCAAAAGTACCTTGAAATCAATTGGCAAGTAGAGAAAATCATAAGTGCCTCTGTGATTTTCATCAATGGCAGCAAGTAGCATCTTTGAAGTATACCTAAAGAAATAGAATAAAAGCAAAAACCATCAAGGAAAACACCATTTTACATAAAACCTACAAGCATTGTAATTCTTCACCATTCATTAACTTTGTCTTACTTGTTGGGGATATTTTTAATCATTAAAGTGGTCCTAGTATCTTCTCCATTAATTATTTTATCTAAATCAAGCTGGTACTGCTTCTTGTTATCAATCTGGTTTCCATTATTTTCAATTCGCTGACTTCGACTGCGGTCAGCCAACCCATCATTGCCAGCCATTCCTTGTCCAGGATAAGAACCATTCCCAAGGAAAGTAGGACCGTGCCTTGGAATTGACATCATTCTGAAACTAAGTGAGCCATTTTCAGTTACATTTCCTGGGAGACCAACACCAACACCCATAGTTCCACGAGCACCAATATTCATCATTAAACTTCCATTGCTACGATTTAAACCCACACCAGCAAAAGAAACAGGGCTCATAAAGGATGTTTCAGGTGACTCTGGGAGGTAGCTAAAGTGCCTATCAAGATGCACACCAGAAGGAGCAGATCCTACATTGTGGTGGTTCCTTGAACCAAGGAAAGAGCCATGTCTAGTTGTGTATGGAAAACCCTGTCCACTTGAAGAAAAGGGATGTGCTGCTGATGATGTTGGCCAAGCAGAACTAGCATGCTCAGAGTAAGGAGTGGAACTTCCCCAAAGAAACTGAGGACCAGTCAATGTTCCAGCACTGGATGAATTTGAATTAGATTCACCAAAGCCAGAGACTGGTCCAGGACTTGCAGTTAATTTCCGATCAGAGAAGGATTGAGAATGCTGGTAGGCTGCTCCTTGCACTGCTCCAGTACTAGTAAAAATCTGGTTTGTATGGTTGGTCTTCCCTTGGTCCTTACCAATAGGTGCAATCTTAGGAGAGTTAGGCACATGATGTGGGAGAATTGAAGCTAACCCAGGCAAATTATTGTTATTTACAGGGCTGAAAGATCCCAGAGCTGGAGACTTACTAAAAGCATGCAAAGGATTATGTTCAACAGGGTTGCCAAATTGTGCCCAGTTACCTGTCACAGCGATGCTTTATTCAGCTAATAATAGAAAATGCATTTTCAACAGATGCAGATAATGGAGTAATTGTATAGAGCATAAAGTTGTTGAGCACACATAATTGACGTGCATCTACAATATTTACCTGGAGGAGAGTTCGCAACTGGAGAACCTACATGATGTCTAAAACTTCGAGCTTCATCTTGTTCCAGCTCCTGACTCAGCAGCTGCATCAAGCTAAAAAAGAAGGGACATCAATTTTAATTTCTTTATACTAGTGTAAGAATATGCCTAGCAACTATGAGGAAAGTGCAATTGTAAGATTCAAAGATAGCAGAGATCCCTTTTGGATTGTCAAAGATAGCAACACTTGAACAGTTGTAAATATGCACAAATGTTTTAGATGCCCAAGAAAACGAGTGCAGAAAGTTATGAGAAGCATAGAAAGTGTTTACATGAAATTAGTTAGCTGAATTAAGAAAAATCAATTTAGCATGTTGCCCAATTGCCACAAGCATTAAGCATTCTAAGGAAGAGCATTTGCAAAAGTACTCTTGAAAGCCACAACAATTGCACTTCCCCTTTCTCCATGTTGGTTCAAGAATTGACAATACCTGCTCTACCGTTACTAATCTATGATAATCATTCTGAATTTCAATTTTTTAACTTAAAATTCATAAAAGAACTGTAATTAAAAGTGGAAAACTGGCTAAACGACTACATAGACAATCGACACTAAGACTCTTCTTATCTCAAAAGTTACATTGCATTCCCTTAAGGGAAGATATACAAGGAAAGAGATTTAATACAATAGAAAATATCAAAGACTTGGAGTCCAGGTTTCCATCTTTATTTTGTAAATTTTTTCCGCTTAGAAGGATAAAATACACAACTAAGGTAAAAGAAAAAAAAAAAAGGCTTCCACCATCTTCCCTATTCCCTTTTATGGATTTGTTACATAAACAGAGAGATATTATCTTATCTCCTAACTCGTATATGTTCATGATCATTCCCGATTTCAGTCCCACAAGATTAAAAACAACATAATAGCATTAACAGCACATATTTAGTGCTTCTCGAATCATATCCCGCTAAAGATCATCTTGCAGAAACAGCTACAAGAAATCAGATCATACATCGCTCCACTACTGATAGTTTTGGAAGAAGCTATAGAATCAAAAGTCATTATGATTGAAAGACATTGCAAGAGTGCCACTCTTCCAAGAAAAAGATATTAGTTGCATCAAAACAAAAGAATCCTTTGCGAACATGCTTGTGTAATCAAAATCAGTAACAAGAAAATCTTCTCATGGATCAATTAACTTCCCTTATCTGACCTAAAGATTATTTGTTCATCTCATTTATTGCAAGAATCTGCAAGTTTATCACAAAGAAGTTAAAATTAATGCTTACTTTCGACGAGCTCCACCAGGGCGGCTAGGTTCAAGCTTTATGCGTTTCCCAGCTATGTCACTCCTATTCAATGCTCTAAGAGCTGCCTCTGCAGCTCGAACATCATAAAATTCTATGAACTTATGGTGTCGCTTGTGTGGTGTTTCCCTGATCTGCATTTTTCACAACCAAAAAAGTAACCAGCAAGTGCTGAAGACATGTCAAAATGGCGATTGACACCAGTAGAAGAACAAATTATGCAAAATGAATACCTCTTTGACCTCCCCATAAGCCCCAAATATTTGGCGAAGGTCATCATTTGATACTGATGGATCCAAATTGAATACTACAAGAGTTCCCTGATTTATATCTTTCTCTGATGGGTTATCCTGGTATATTACAAGGTAAAAAATGCTTCTAAACTTCTTGATGAGATCAACATTGTCAAACTCAAATGTAAAACAAAATACACTACTCCAAACCTTGGGAATTGAGAAATGAATGTCCAGTTTTCTTCGCCTTAGCGGCTTATTTTGTAATGCACGCATTGCAGTGCGTGCAGCCCGAATATCATAATATGAAATCATTACAAAACCCCTATGCTTGCATGCAGTGTACAAAGTTCTGATATCTCCATATTGCTGCAAGAAGTGAAGAAATTTCAAGATAATAATTATTAGCCTAGTATGATAAGATGAAAACCATTCTGTGCACATAAATAAAGAAAAGGACCAAAAATAAATCTTGGTCAAGTAACCAAGAAATAAAACTGCTATCGGTAAAGGGATCTAATAGCCAGAATACTAGCTAAATTGAGCAAGATAAAGCCTAATATAGAATACCTCAAAGAGAGATCTCAATTCAGAGTCTTCAACATTACTATTGATATTTCGTACAAACAATGTTCTTGAAGGGTGCTCGCCATATGGATGTTCCCCAGCCACTGTTCCCACACCATTTGCAAGAGGGTTAGGACCATTCCCATTAGCAGGAACCCCATCAGATAGGTTAATATTTGATATAGCAATATTAAGGCTTTCTTGAGGTTCAAAATCCAATTCCATTCCCCCTCCAGTACCAAAGACATCATATTCTTCCAAGTCCTCCAACTGACCAGGCAACCCACTTAAGTCGAAGTCATCCATTATGCCGGCAAGGAGCTCCTCTTCATCATCAGGAAGTAAATTTCCAATTGCATTTGTTTGAACATCTTCAAGTGGGTCCTTTCCTTCATTTTCAAGCTCTAGCTTACTTAAATTAGGAGAGTTCTCATCAACAGATTGACCAGAATGCGCCATATCAGCGAAGTTCACTGCATTTTAGCAAACCAAAACCTCAGTGCTATTCTAAGTATAGCAAAATACACAACATTTTCATATCAACAGTTGGCACATACATTTTTCATGAGAAAGGACAGGTAACGAGCTAGAAAACAAGCTCGCATCGCTTGATGAATGATATGCGTCAGTTCCATGTGGGATCCCCCATGCACCAGTTTCCCACTTTCTAGAAATGTTGACCAAAGGAGTATTAGATGGACCTACAATACAAGTAAGAATGACTGATCAAGATCTGGCAACAATAGATAAGCAAAGATGAATAAGATCATATGCATTTGTGTCCTAGACCAGATTTAACAAGATAGTGATACCTTCATATTGACTTGATATCAAACCTTTTGAGCTTGGCTCCATTCAATCAATTTCTGTAGACAAAGAATTTCAAGAAATAACCATCAATATATGCTAATGCAGACTAATTCAGCATATAAAGCACTGGTTATGCGAAACCATAGAATAGAATAGCATATGGCTAAGAATCACTAAAATTTTCAAGTTCATGCTGAATTCTAACACACACGGCAGTTCCTGTAAAGCAATTCAAGTAACTAGCATGGAATTTCTGATTCCAGTTTCATAATCATTTCGCTACTGTTAAACTACAATATTTCTAATCTGTCATTGATCACACAACTTTAATTGTAAATACTGTTTACTAGAATTCACCTTTCGGTAGTTAATCATGCAATGATTGTCTATAGATGACACAAATACAAATAAAGTGAGCAAACGGTCAAGATCAGAAAGAAAATTGATAAGGGTATCTACACTGCAAATCTAAAGAGCCGATAATTATGACAAATAACAGCAACAGTATTAAGTCAACACCCCAAAACATGAAATGTGGAAATTTTATCGAAGAAAACGGAAAATTGCACTTTAGTAAAAAAAAAAAAAATCATAAAAACTCAGCAACTCAACAAGAACTTCACTTAGTAACAAAGTCAACAAATTTCTACACTCGGAAACAAAATTAAGCCATTTTCAGCAGTTTCTCAGGAACATTTCTCTCACCATCACTCACTATTTTTCTTTTTCACTAGTAATTATTGATATTAAATAAAAATAATAAAATAAATAGACAATTACCCACCAAAAAGAAAAAAAAAAAAGAAATTACCTGGGAAGAAATAAACAGGAAAGCAGAAAAAAAAAAGAAAAAGAAATACCTTTTAGAAAAAAATGGTATATAAGAAAGTAGTTAAAGAGAGTCCATTGAAGAAGTTAACTTGACTGGGCTGATTCCAAACAAAGTTTTTGTCTTTGATCACTCAAAATTATATATACAAAAAACGGAAATAGAAAGAGAAAGAGTTTCGCAGAAGCCGAGATATTTCTTTCTCATACCCCTCTACTTACTTCACCCTCGCCGGGAAACTAGAAAAACTAAAAAAAATATAAAGAAGATTGAAAGAAAACCGAAAACAAAAAAAAAAAAAAAAAAAGTAAAAGTACCAATATATTAAAGAGAAAGTGGAAGAAAATTTATTAGAGAGAGAGAGAGAGTAAAATGATTGGAAAGAAAGAGATATAATTCGAAGGAAAATAATTTTAAAAAAAAAAACAGTATTCTTAGGAATTATGTTTTTGTTCTTGAAAAAAAAAAAAAAAACACTTGATAAAAGATTCTGCTGAATTTGAATTTGTTTGGCATCCGTTGACACATAGCCCACACAAGACACAACACAACTACCACAAAGTAAAAAAAAAAAAGGAAAGCAGATAATTTTGGTTTATCCATTTACCCTTTATAGTCCCTTTTATTACGACTTTGCCATGCTCGTCTTATGATGTGGTATGAAGTTATTGGTTTGAGGATTGTTTGTGTAAAGGTGTTTCAAAATAATTCTTATTGAATCCAGACAAACTGACCCATTGACATCCAACGACAGGTTTTTTTTAATACACGCGGGGATCTGTGATTGGTTTTAATTTTGCATTTGGGTAGCAGCTAGGAGGGGTGAATACAGGTGATTATTTGAGCTTTTGTACTTTTGTTGGTGGGGTCCGATGACGTGTTGTTGCGTCGGCAAAGGTGATCAGATTCAGCTGCCCTCTCTCTGGATACAACCAATTACGTAATACCACGTTAGCTTGAATTTCCTCTGGTACCTAGCAAATTTGGGGGGCATTCTAAGTGTTTTTCAGTGAGGTGTTTTTGTTGTCTGTTCATAGTTTTTTTTTTTTTTTATCTGCTTATTTACGTTAAATATAATGAATTTATAAAAAATTAATTTTTTATAATTTTCGAACCCAAATAATAAAAAAAGAGCGTACTTTCTTTCACTAAAACCAACATCTATTGGTGCTTTTTGAGATTTTTAGATTCGTACCACAAGAACAAATCTGGATGATCTATGCCACAGTTGATCACATCATATTATGATTTCTAAGATTTAATTCACAGCATGTAACATGAAGAGCCACAATATCCAATTTTTAATTTGAATAGTTACATTATTGAGTTACTATTCTTTCTCTCTTAGTATTTGTCTTTTATTAATTTTCACAAAATTTTAAAAATTAACTGTAATATATGCAATATTAAATTAATTTTTTATAAATTTAATGTTCCATAATTTTTTATGACAAAAAGTAAAAAATAAAAAATAAAAAATTTTAAATTTTAAAAAGTAGGATTTTAATGTTTAAAAAAATAATTTTGAGACGTTTAAATGAATAAAGATAGACAAATAAAATGGAATTATTTATTAAATTATTATCTCTGTCTATGTATGTAATTCTGTTAGCTAGAATGATTTATGCAAAAAAAAATATATATTGTGAATGATTTAAGAATTATAATAAAATTTTTAATATGGTATTTTAATTTTAAAAATCTCTAATTTATTATTTAAAATATAAATTTATTAACTAATATAATATTTATCCTTAATATGATGAATTTTAAATGATAATATATGATAGATAAATAATTTTTTTAAATATCATATTATTTAATAAATTCATAATTTAAATACTATATTAAAAATTATTTAATTTAAAATTTTTAAAATTTAAATATCACATTAAATATCTCACATAATTCAAGAGTTATTCATAACATTATCCCTGAAAAAATAATAGCAAATTACAGTCTTTTTGCTATTTAATATTGGTTAAAACAATGTGTTAAACAAATAAAGAATACGTGCCTTTTGCTCTTTTTGTTGGGATGAACAGTCATAAAAGAATGGTGATTATTAGTAATGTTTTTATTGTATGATAAAACATCTAATTTATTTGAATGGCTATTTATGAATTTCTTAAAACTATGAATGACATAAAAACTTAATACAACTTTAACAGATCACGATGCAATAATGAGTAAAGCAATCTCAATGATGATGCCTGGATCATATCATCTATTATGGGTGTGCCACTTATAGTAATGAACTTAAGTAGCTTAGCCATCTATATGAGAGCTCATTTTTTTTTGTTTTGATTTTAGCAAATTTATTATAAACTAAAATAAATTCGTGAGATACTGTAGGTTTAAAAATTTTTATTTATTAAAATTAAATAATTATTTTTATTATTTAAAAATAATTTGTAATTTATTAAAAGTTTGGATTTTTTAAAAATAAGAAAATAAATAAACTTCACATCTAGCCTTTTTTTTTTTTTTTTTTTTGGGTTAGGGTCACAAAAGTAAACCAAACTCAAATTCTTAACTCATGGCTAAGCTTGTAATCCTCTACTTAAAATATTTTAGCATAATAACATCACAATTCAAATTAATTAAATGAACAAAATAAAGTAACTACAAAAAAATTCCAAAAATCTTTTTAAATAAATAAAAATATTTCTAACTAATCCATAGTCATATAACAGGCCAATTGATTATTTTCATAGCCATTAATGGAGTTCCATAGATAGTTTAATCTTGAAAACACAAGAAGCAACCAAATAGCTTGGCATATACCATCAGATTATCAAATTAGATGTAAAATGTAGCAAAAATGAGAAATCATTACCTGCTTGGATGTAGAAATCCTTTTTCCATTATTGGCCTCTAGTTGAACAATACACTTATTGTAGACCATGAACTACTTCGGGATTCTTCAATAACAAAAAAAAAAGTGAAAATTAAGTATGGAAGAAATAGACAATCAAGAAAATATACAAGTCGAGTCAATGTATTTTTAGTTTTGTACTATAAAAAGTTTATGAGGTATTGGTAAGATGGATTGAGAAAGTATACAACAACATAAAAAGAATGACGGAATAATGTGCTTTAATTACTGTTAATCACACAAAAAAAAGTACTATATTTACACACATCATCACAATGAATGGCTTTAATTGCAAGCTTTGTTCTATACACGTCATTATATATGAATGATATTGATTTGATGCCATGATTAGCTATCTTTTAAAGAACTTCAGCAATTGGTTCTAAAGAATTTTTTGAAATCTAATCATGTCTATAACAGTTAAAAGACACTTAGAATGAGATACAATAAGATTAAAAAATAAATCAGCCAAAGATATTAAATCAAATCTTGCCCATAAACAAATAATGCCAAAACATTGATTTCCAATTAAAATGATAACATGAGCATTGAGTCATGAATTCAATATAAAAAATATACTTTAAAATGTATGCAATTATTTGCATGCCTACTAAGGATGTGATATCAATGAACACTTCACACACCAATCTCGAAACGTTAGATGTGATGGGATAAAATCAAATTTGGGCATCTAATAATGTGTATATAACATAAAAAATGTACTCAGAATAAGATACAATAAGATTAAAAAATAAATCAATTAAGAACCGAGATTTTAAATCAAATGTTAACAATAAACAGATAATATCGAAATATTTATTTCTAAAAATTAGATAATATCAAATAGATTAAACTCAATCAAGAATACATCCATAATTTAAAATTCTTATCATTGAATATATATAGAAATAAAAATAGGAATACGGTACTAAAACACATTAGAAAAACTCAATTCAGTGAACATGAAAAAC